ATATATATATATATAATTTTAAATCTATAATAGAACTATATCTCTGAATTTTTCACATATTTTTGACCAAACTAAATATTTAGTAAAATTTTTAAATAAAGCATGTAAACTTAGGTGTTTCACCTTTGGTACTTTCAACATGCCCTCAGTAAACAGGTGAGAACAAATGGGTTAAAAACCAAAAACATTCTACAGGCAAAACATCAAGCAGAGGATGCATAAAGTTTATATTTTTATAAATAATGATTTTTGTTTGTTTAGTCTAAACCAGGGCTGTGGAGTTGGAGTCAGAGTTGTGGAGTTTTGGTGTTTTAGCCGGAGTCGTCAAAAAATCCGCTGACTCTGACTCCTTTTACTTCCCGACTTGTTATGTATATAAAATGGAAAAGTATTGAAATCGTGTCAAATTTGACCCTCCAACTTTTTTTTTTTTTTTTTTTTGAAAATCTACACGTTTGGAGACCTCCCAAACCCCTCAAAAAAGTCAGTGAAGGGGGAAAATTTCACGCGCGCGTGTGTTGGCATCTAATTTGTTTAATTTCTTTATTTTCTGTTCTGAGATATTAAACAATATCTCAGAATGGCTAAAGTTTAAGAAATGAAATATGGCACTGTAGCTTGCTTGTATTAAATTTTGGTTCTTAATTAAAGATTGACAGGATGAAGACATAAAAGTGGTTATGTGTCATATCTCTTAATGAATATTTTACTCATTATTAGTGTTCAAAATTTAAAAAAATAAAAATAAAATTCGTTTCTACCCTCAAAGTAAGCTTTTTTGGCATTTTATAATAGTACGGTAAAACCTGTTAAGATGTTCTCGCCTAAGATGTTAGAATGTATGTGGAACACGATTTAGTTCAATCACTTTGACTTAAATAACTAACTCCTGTGTTAAGACATCTGACTCCGATTCTGAGCACAGAAATTATTAAGCTTCAAACAGGGTGAACAAAATCATGCCCCACACACACAGCCTAACATCCACACATATAGAAAAAACCTTGAATCTTTTGCATATCTCGAAATTTCAAGATGTCCTGAGTCCAAAAATGCGAAAATTTGGAAGGGGTCATTTTTTGAGAGAGCGCTACACTTTTCCTCTGTTATATATAACAGCCGGAAAAGTAAAAATTATCAAATACCTATTTATATATTACTTAGAGGATTCTTTTAGCTTTGGAATAAAAAGTTTCTACGTTCTATCTTTATTAGAACTCTATTTATTGAATCTATTTATTCTGAGGTCACATGATGACATCAGCATTTTCGGGTCTCTTTTGGTAACAAGTCCGCCACTGGTCGGAGTCAGATGGTAAGGAAAAGTTGGAGTCGGTAAATTTTTACGCAACTCAAAAGCCTTGGTGTAAACAGATTTATATAAGGAAAAATATTATACAGTGGAACCTTGGTATACGACCTTAATCCGTTCCCGATGTTTGGACTTATACTGAATTGGACGTATACCAAACCAACCTTTCCCATAAGAAGTAATGTAAAAATGATTAATCCGTTCTCGTGTAAAAAAAATGGCTGGCTTTAAACACCTCGCTTTCCTGGCTAGTTCCTGCTTGATTTTTC